TCCCCCCCTCCCCGTTCGAATGTTCTTATCTCGCAGCTGCTGAATGTGCTCATATTCTTATCTTTAGCAGCAGTGGTACACCTAAGGCGTGCGTTCTTATTCTTAACTGCAGGTGCAATCTGAGCACATGTTCTTACCGGCAACTTCATATTTTTTGTTATATTTTAGCACCATATTCTTAAGTGCCATATTCTTGAGGGGGAACCGCCAATCGATGTTACGGTTCGCAATCGGGGCAGTGTAGACTAGGGAATAGAATGGTCTGGAATCCCCCCTGTTTTTAAAAAACATGACAAAACCTGGTTAGACCGCACTTGTTACGGCGGCCCGCAAGCAGGAGGGCAGCGACGTGCCCAGAACAACAACCGGTGAGACCCAGAGGAAATACGCATGAGATGAGATATATGAAGTGTCACATCGTACAATGCACGGCCGAAAGACTTGTCGTCGCCGACCACAGAATCAGCAGCTTTGAAGCGGCGGAATTGCCGGATATACGATTCTCCAGCTCACCGCCCCGGCGAGAATAAGGCGTGTAGTGGATGAACTCACGTACTCGCACGCTGAGGGTGTGCTCCATATGTGTGACGGTCGTGCAGTGCCCGCAGAAGTTTAGGAACGTGTCGGCGTCGGTGTTTCCTCACCCTCTGGAAATGAGGACATGATTTCCGCCAAATGGGGTGCTGAGGGGCGGTCAAGCCGATCGGAAAAGCTGTACACACGAGGCGCCGTGCAAAAGGCGACTGATATAGGTAGTCTGTGAACATGCAACGCCCTCCGAAGAGTTTTGGTGCGTTCGGTTGCCAAACCTTCAAAATTTCGGTTTCGGTGTACTGGCTCCCAAAAGTGTGCGTTTTTCTGCACATATAGGCGTTTTTAGACAGTGCAAGTACTGAGCATTTTTTTTTTGACGCTTCCAAAAGATGGCCCTGACCCATAGCGTTCGTGTGAATGCCCCAAAACCGGAGTCTGATCATAAACAACGGAGAAAAGCGTTTTCCATTTAAGCGGAATTTACAGCAGTAAATATGCCTATTAGACTAATAGGGATTTAGACTGGAAATTTCCCGGCGTGATTACCGTCGGGACAGATAAGGCAGGACACCACCTGCGTGGGGTCCAGGACGGCTCATCGCCCGCGTTTCGACCTAGTGGTGTTACAGGAGCAATAAACGATACCGAGGCGTGAAAAGCGGAGGTTTGGTGGTGCCAGCTTGATAATTTATTGCAATATATTTACAGCAGTATGTATATGTATGGCGGGCTTGCTTTTCCAGGCCACACTGCTTGTGCTTACCCGCCGCGTCGCGCGCGTTCGCATTCTTTGTCCAGACCCACATGATGGACGCATCTACAACGGACAACCGACCGTTGACGGTAGTCGAAGTCCAGAGAGGGTTGAACCGTAAAGGACCGGCCGGTTGTTGGCTAAGACACGGTGGCGTCGAGAAAATGGTTGGCTGGCGACTAGGTGCAATTCAGCATTTTCTAGGATCGGTAGAGCTCAAAGAGCTTGGAAGCACGAGGCGCCAAACGAATCTGTCGAGACCTCTTCAGCTTTTGGCGTCGGTGGGGATGCACTTCAAGGAAAACTATGTTGCCGTAACTGGGGGCGAAGGGGGCGTTTGCCCCCCATGGGGTGGCTCCAAGCACGCCGACATAGGGGAGCCTCGCGAGCGGGGAGAACCTCGACCCGACAACTTCCAGAAATCCACTAGGGATGACCGACCTGCCTCCCCCGAAAGCGAGAGAGGGGAGTTCAGCGCAGATGGAATGATAGAGGGCGAGCTCGGTGTCCCGCGTAAGTCATCTAGTGTTGTAGGAGTAGAGGGTGACGATTGGATGGAGACCGAGGAACAAAATGGTGTGTTATCCCGCGGTGGCTCGGAGGCAGAGGGTGAGCTGGCATCTGGTGTTGTTGGCGTACAGAATGATGAAGAGGGGGAGATCGAGGAACAGAGCGATGTGTTATCCTGCGATGGCTCGGATTTGTTGGATCCACTGGACGTTCGCGACGCGAGATAGGGCAGGGTGGCGACGGAATGTCCGGGTCTCCACCCCGGAGGAGCGACGCAGTTCAGAGCGATGCTGAATGGAGGTACGATTCGTACCGCGTGATCTGGGACAGACAGTCGAACATGCAATTTGTTAGACTATTTGCGTCCGAAATAGAAATACAACCGGTGCGTTTCTGCATTCTACACGAAAAACGAGCGCGGTTCTCTGGCCGCCGGTGGAAAAACGCCATAATGATGGTAAAAATGTCAGCCAGGCGCGGATAGTCAACGGAACGNTCTGGGACAGACAGTCGAACATGCAACGGGAGGGAAAAAAGCTCGGGTGTGTGCAGAGTGCACCGCTGCAGGGGTGGGCTTGCAGGTTTTTGCTGACAAGTAGCATCAGCGAAAGGGGCAGAAAATCTGCCGGAAGGTCCGAGAGGAATGGGCGGCGAAAAAAAACCGCCAGCCGGACTTCCTCGTAGTTCGTGTTTTGCGGGCGTGAGATTGAAAGGGGGTATGCAAAATTCGTCCTGGAGTATTTTTTTTTCCCGCTGCCAAAGCTGTGCTGTTGTTGCTCTCGGCGAGTTCAGCAATTTTGAAGGCATTGAACAGATCGATTGCCGTGTCCTAAATAAAAAAAGGTTGTGGGGGGCAGAGAACCTCCCTCCTTTCTCGTTGTGTTTCACCGTAAAAAAAAAAACTGTCTCGGCGGGCAGAAAACACGCCCACCTCTGTGTGCTCCATCGATACGTGCAAGGAAGGATCGGTAGTCGTGTGAAAAAACATACGTGAGGGAGGGAGGATCACCCTTCCACCTCTTCAACGAAAAAAAAAAACGCGGTGGGCAGAAAAAACCGCACATGTATGTGCTCAATCGATACGTGCAAGGAGGGGTTGGTAGCCGTGTTCCAAAAATACAAACGGGTGGGCATATCCCTCCCACCTCGTTGTGGTCTATCTTTCGAAAGGGTCCCTTCCCCCTCCGAGATGTTTCGGATAAAATAAAGGTGCATTCAGATCTATCTTGAAGGCAGCGGCACAATTGATGATGGGACTCGAAAACAAAGGGTGCATTTCAGTCGTGCAAACCAGCAGCTAAAACATTATACTTGTATAGTTCTAAAGGACGNAGCAGCCAGGAGGTGACACTAATACATGCACATGGCGCGCACGATCTCGGTCGGTATGCCTTTGTTTCCCCCCCCCGAGAACACTTTCAAAGCAGCAACCATGCACTCGGCGGCAGTGCATTGATTCCCGGCTCCTTTGGCGAGCAGATCGGTGGAGGTATCGTAGTACACCTGGTTTCGCACCCTCTTCGCCAGGCAGTATCCGGGATCGCCGTCCAACTTGAGTTGCCTTTCGAGCACCGTCTTTGGGGCAACCAGGACATCGCAGAATAGAGGGTGGGGGGGGGGGGCGTGAGGAGGTAAATTGTTGTGCGCGACAACGAAATATCTCGTATTATTGGTGCAAACTTTTGCAGGGCAGAGGCAGGAGATCTAAGATATGAGCACTCTCTTCAGGAACAAAATCAAAAGGGCCGCACACATAGTATGTACAGATGGAGACAAAAAAAGTACCACAGCAGTGCACACGCCCGAGGAGGTGAGAATGTACTCACAGGTTTGTACCTGGCCTTCCACAAGTTGTGCAGCATGATCGATAACTATTAAAAAAAAACTATGAACAGCAGCGTGCGCTCGATGCACTAAATTGTAGCCTTTCTATAACAGTATGTTTGCAAAATACCTTGCACCAGGTGCCTAGGCTGTCGTGTGCCCATGGATTGCAAAA